CTAACTTCCTTTCTACTTTTCTCCTTCGATTCCACATGATCATAAGCAACTCCCTAATCTTGTCCATGAGGTCATCCAAGTTCAAAGACTTTTGGTGCTTAATCCAATTCTTGAAGCACTCTGGGAGGTTGTTGGTTACATAGTCCATCTTACAAATAGTTGAGAACTGACTCCTAGTACACAACCTACACTGCCACTTCCTAAGATATACAGTTGTCACCAAACCTGGCCAGATGGGCCAGCACGGCACGACACGACCCGTCCAAGATTCGTCGTGTATAAAAAATGTGGTTTATTAAATATGGTCATCATGTATTAAAGAATGTGTGCTCTTTATTAAAAATTCTAAAAAGTTTGTAAATTGTTCATTGTTTTCTATTTTTAAAATAGTCATTGTATATTAAAAAAATATTGCCATATATAAAAAATGTGGTTTATTAAAAATGTTCATTTTGTGAATTAACAAATATTCATCGTGTATTAAAAAATGTTCGTCGTGTATTTTTTTTACAATTTATTAAAAATAGTCATCATGTATTAACAAAATATATGCCGTGTATTAAAAATGTTCTTCATGTATTATTTTTTCATCATGGTATTTAAAAAATTTCAGCGCACATTTTAGAAAATTTCATCATGTGTTTATTTTCAATGGTCGTTGTGTATTTTAAAACACATGTACATCATGTATTTAAAAAGACGTTCATCGGGTATTAAAAATGTCCATCACATGCTAAAATGTATTCCTATTATTTAAAAAAATCATTGTCTATTTTCACACGTTTTATATTTTATTTTAAAAATATGTGAATATTTTTTAAGCAAAAAGTAAAAGGAAATAGGGGAACATGAAAAATAAAAATAAACTTAATAAATATTAAAAGAAAACGAAATGAGAAACATAAAATGAAAATAACAATCTTACTATCTTGCGTCAGTGCGCCATGTATACAAGCATAGCAACCCACGCTAGGTTTCTCATAGAGGACATAACGCTCAAGCACTGCTGGGCATGGCTCATGCAAGCGCTCCATGGGCTGAGTCTCCCTTAACGCTCGCAATAAGCGCTGCCCCGCATCGAAGTACATAAATAGTATTGCTCAAAAAAAGGTACTCCCTCCGATTCATCTACTATCTACTATCTACTATCTATCTATCTACTACCACTATAAAAGAAAGAAAGGGGCAGATCCAAACAATTTTATCCGTCCATCTATAATATCTGATGGCCCATAATCATCCCGTGTTTAACACAACAAGCCACGCATTAAGCCACAAACCACGCATCGAGTTTAACGCTTCAAGCCATCCCTCGATAAAACTGCCCCGCCGTTCAGAAAAAAAGCAAACAACGCACGCCCCGACGTCCTCTCGCCCCACCCGCACGACCTCGACCTCTCGCCCCTGCTCCTCCTCCCCCGCCGTTCGCCCTCTCCCGTTCCTCGCCGCTCCTCCTGAGCCTCCCGCCGCTCCTCCATTCCTCCGGAGCCGCCCGCCACGCCCTTCGCCGCGGGATCCCCTTCGTCGCGGGAGCCGCCGTCGAGCCCGTCCATCGCGCCCAAGCCGCCGCCGGAGCAGCCCTGCGCCGCAGGATCCCCTTCGCCGCGGCTCGCAGGTCGCCGAGCCGCCGCCCCGGAGCCGCCCTTCGCCGTGGTCCGCAGGTCGCCGAGCCGCCGCCCCCGCCCTTCGACGCGGCCCGCAGGTTCCCTAGCCGCCAACGCACACCCCCACGTCCTCCCGCCGCCCCGGAGCCGCAATGCGACGGGCCCAACCCGGAGATCCACAACACGGGCGGGCTGAGCCGGCGGGGCTTCCCGGCTGGGTTCGTGTTCGGGACGGCCGCGTCGGCGTACCAGGTGGAGGGCATGGCGAGGCAGGGCGGGCGCAGGCCCAGCATCTGGGACGCCTTTGCAGCCATACCGGGGACGATCGCCGGCAATGGCACCGCCGACGTGACGGTCGATGAGTACCATAGGTACAAGGTGTGTATTATACTGTATGAACAATCGTCCTGACTGCTATGTTTTTCTGGTGTTTCTTGGTGGTATCCTGATGTTTGACAGAGGTCTTTTACTCTGAGGTGTGTGTAGGAGGATGTGAGCATAATGAAGGAAATGGGCTTCGACGCGTACCGGTTCTCGATCTCCTGGTGGAGGATTTTCCCAGGTATATATGTGCCCTGATCCCTCCTCCAACCACAGCAGCTTGCTAATTTTCGATCCAATATTATTTTTCCTGGATCAAAAGTAGTTTCTGATGTAGAGCTGTGTATGATAAAACTGTAGATGGGACTGGGAAGGTGAACCAGGAAGGAGTGGACCACTACAACAGGCTCATAGATTACATGCTCCAGCAAGATAACTGAAGTTTTCAAAATTGCTTGATTGATTATTAATCAATGTAAGCAATCTATCATGTAGGTTTTGTTCGATCCTACAGTTGAAGAAAATCATACTGAAGATCTGAGCTTAAGTGTTCCAACAGCTGAAGCACCAGCTCAAGATGAAAGGAACCTCTTAATATGATTGTAGATCCATTCCCGTAAAGTGCAGTTAGAATATGGAATCCACCTCGAACTAGGTTTAAAAAACAGAAAGCATATGGAATTTTGCTCTATCAGGTAGCAATTTGGTTGTTCAATCCATCCATAGTTACATTTTTAAGATATATTGTGGAATTTCCTTATTTTTTTAATACAAGTCTGAACTTTTAGGACATCCGACACATGAGTTTGAACCATCCAATTATAGTGCTACTAATTTTGGGTCACTACATCATGCAATACTACGGATGCTGTTCAACATGGCAAAGTTGGATTTTTTTTATTCTTTTTTCAGATTAGAATCACTTTAGCAATGCCATATAGATAATACAAGATGTGGCAAAGTGTTGTATTCAATAGAGATTACAGTGATAAATTGGTGAAATTAGTTTGCTCTCTGATCTCTGTTAGCTTTAAATCGCTAGGAAGCCATGTAGTCCTATTTTTAGTACTAGGAGGAGAACATATATTAAATCTATGTCATCCAGGGAAGATCTCTGTTGTGCTGGGGCAAACTAAACCAGAGCAAGCACTTACTCAAGGCAAGGAGCAGTGCTCGTACTTGCTCATGGTTGAGGTAGATTCAGGTTAAATTTTATGTGTTGATTCCCTTCTCTTGCACATGTCTAGGTCTTTGTGCCTGATCAAGCTGTTCTTTGACAAGTATTATCTTTGAGTGATGCCATGTTGGTAATAAAATACTATATAACTCACATTTCATTTCTTATGTGTTCCTTTTTCATTTTTGTTCTGTTCTTATTTTTCAAGTATTATTTTTGACTTGTTCCAGATATTTAAATGTCTTTTTACGTATCCTTTGTTTGTTCTCAATTTGGATGCTTTCATGCAGATCAAGTTATTATGGAGGAAAAAATGAAGGGGTGCATTGCAATCTAGATTTGACTAAATGTGTGGCACAATCTGTTGACAAACACATTTACATTTAAGTATGTGTAGTATGCTTCAGGTAATTAACCACAAGATTTGTTTCGTCAATTATTTCCTTTTCATTCAGTGAATGTCCTTTTGTTAAAAAGCGCGAGTCCAATGTGCAAGTACGGAAAAGGTTCTCCCATTGGGTTGCCACTACAACGAAATAAGCATGTAAATGACTGTTAAACATACTCTATTTTTGTAATTCAAAGGCAATGTTTCTGCCAGTCTCTTGAAAGAACTAAAAGAAATGCAGCCTTTAAAACTGAATGTCTACATTCATTTTTGGAGATCACGGAGCTATATATTAACGAGTTATTATGTTGATGCACACTGCATTCAATTTAGTGAGCTTGTTATTTTTCTGATCGGATTCAGTGGTAATGGAATTGGGTGGTGAAGAAAACTAGCAAGCTGCATAGGAGAAATTCATACATGCACCCGCATGAATAATAATTTTCCAAATGTCAAATAGTTCTAGAAAAACTATACATATAAATATCTGAATCATCTGTGTCCTTGTAAAATTAGTGGAAAAATGATTTTGGAGGGTGAGGTTGCTTTAGTCTTGACCATGAAGTGCTCTTTGCTAGCGATGTCGCGGCCAGTCGGCCACTCGCTCTCCAAATCCTGCAGCTGTGCATGGGTCCGATGGACATGCATGGCGGCTCAGACCTGCGGGCTCCACGATCACCACGGCGCTGCTTCCTGGCCTTGCCGCTGGCAGTCACCGAACCCTCACCGGATTGTCGACCCCACAACTAACCATCACCCTCATCTCATTAGTTGGCTTCCCTCTACTGGATCCGAATTTTTTTGGTTGGTTTGCAAAGTGCAGATGTGTGACCTCCTCTATGATGAAGGCATCAAGGAGATGAACTTTTGCTTCTCAAGTTTTGATTTAGTTGAGATGTTTAAGAAATATTGGTCACTTCCAAGTAAATTTTATGATGATGTGATATATGTCTACTAATTTCCATTTTTTCCATTTGTGTTCAGGTATCTATACTAAAGGTTGCAGTACAACACTAGCTGGTTACAATTTTGTAGATTTCCTTTTACCCTTAGTTTGTGCTCCCTCCGATCCAAATATAAGTGTCGCAGCTTTGAACTAAGGTGTTCGACCTTAGTTCAAAACTGCGACACTTATTATGGATCAGAGGAAGTAGTAAATGCCAATTAGTTGAGACGTGCGTTGCACGTGCAAGCTTACTAGTATTCATACTAAAGCAGCGTCAATTAATATGGATATGAGGGAGTACATAAATAGTACTGCTACTGCGGAAAATAGTACTCTCTCTATTCCAAAATATCGTGCATATTTCATTTTCGAAAAGCCAAACAGATCTATGTTTGACGAAATTTATGGAATAAACTATAAACATCTAAAATGCCATATAAATACAATATAAAACTGCACTTAATGATGAATCTAATGATACTAATTTCGACATTGTGGATGTTGATATTTTGTTTCTTTAAACTTGGTCAAAACAGAGGGAGTATTACTACTTAGCAAAAGGAAATGGATTCTCTCAAAGAAAAAGCAAAAGGAAATGGATTACTACGTGCCTTCGTCGGCGACTCCGTGCGGCCGCCGGTGCAAGCCCAGGTTCGCCCCATCCATCCCAACTCCAAACTCTGAAACTCTTTTTTTTTAAATGGACTCTGAAAGTTAGGAATGGTGAATGGTGACTGAGTAGGTCGATTTTCGACAGGCCAGGTCCGCCATGTCGGCCTTCACCGGCGCGTCTATCGCCCACGGCTACAAGCGGTGCGCCCACGGGGACAGCGGCTACCACCTGCTCATGGTCAATGGCCACTCGCGCACCAAGGAGCTGATTCCCACCGGTCAGAGCATTACCGCCAACTCTTTCAATGTAGGAGGCCATGATTGGTTAATCGAGTACTACCCTAACGGCGAAAACCCGGGCCGCGCCGACTTCATTTCGCTCTTTCTGAACCTTCTCTACGACGCCGATGACGACGACGAAGCGCCCGTGGAGGTCAGGTTCAGTTTCAGCCTCGTCGACCAGGTGGAGAAGCAGATGCCGATGTACATTCGTGCAACCAGTGAAACCCGCAACTTCTCCAGCACTACCTCAATCTGGGGCAATGACAGGTTTCTCAGAAGAGACGCCCTTGAACACTCGGCGGATCTCAAGTGCGATTGTCTCACCATCCGGTGCGACGTCGTGGTCGTCCGCAGCAGCAGGGTTGATGATGATGATGATGATGCCGGTGGCCACGGCGGCACCAAGGCGCTCCTGCCGGACATACACCAACATTTCAACACTCTCCTTCAAAAAAAGGTGGGCGCCGATGTGGCATTCCAGGTCGGTGGCGAGGCCTTCACCGCACACCGGTGTGTGCTCGCTGCCCGATCCATGGTGTTCATGGCACAACTCTTTGGCCCCATGAAGGACGCGTCCAACAGTGTCATACAGATCAAAGACATGGAACCAAAGGTGTTCACCGCTCTGCTTAGCTTCATCTACACAGACTCCTTCCCTGACATGTACGAGGACAACATTAAGTTGAGTGAACTGTGCAAAGATACGGGACAAGGACAAGAAGATGAAATGTCGGAAGCTGTGGGCCAAGGACAAGATGGGGAAGCGGCAGAGGTTGAAGTGGGGCTGCTGCAATGGCTGCAAGGCTTGTTTGTGGCGGCAGACCGGTACGATCTCCAGCGGCTCAAGTTCATCTGTGTAAAGCAGTTGTCTCAGCGCATAGGTGTGAGCTCTGTGGCGTCCACTCTTGCTCTAGCCGAGTAGCACCACTGTCGTGGATTGAAGGAGGCATGCTTGAAGTTTATCCAAGTCCAATCTCCCCCGTGTTTGCAGACACTAATGGTGAGTAATGGCTGGGGGCATATTGTCATGACCTATCCCTCTGTTTTGAACGAGCTCATTGCCATGCTTGCTTCTAACCAGAGGAAGTGACACTCTGGATACGGTACGCATCTTCCTTAATTAGACCTTAAGTGACATTCTTTTGCATATATAAGTATCTCTACAGAGATTGTAGTATATGTGTCTTGTTTTTAATTGTCTAGTCATGTAGTTTTCATGTATGATGAATCAGAAAAATCCATGTTCATGTTTAGTTTTCAACTGACATTTGCTGCCCATGTTCATGTTTGTTCTGCCTCTACCATCTGAAGTAGTAATAATCAAACAATAGTCAAGCAAATCTGCAACTTAAGAGTTTCTCTGTAGGAAGGCAGGCAAGCAATAGTCGACAAGGAAGCGCCAAAATTATTGCTTCGAACCAGCAGAAGTAACACTCACTCCGTATATACTACCTCCGCCCAAAAATATTTGTCGGAGAAATAGATAAAAATAGATGTATCTAGAATTAAAGTACGTCTAAGATACATTCATTTATCCGACAAGTATTTCCGGACGGAGGGAGTATATGGTGCGCATGTTCCTTAGGCCTCAAGCGGCACTCTTTTGCATATACGTGATCCTCTAGTCTAGAGAGATTGTATAGTATGTGTGTCTTGCCTTTTTCTCAGCATGTATATATAACATGCGTATATTCTAAGTCAACATACTTGCAAATTGTGTCTTCATGGAATGGGCTGTCTGAAAATTCAGGCGCAAGTGTCAAACTGAACTGCGGTTGCAGACTTGCAGTGGTTGTCAAGAAAAAAAGAAGAACAGATGTATAGATGTTTTTCTTTACTTTCGTCCAATAAACATCTCTTGGTCAAGTGTCAGTGGAAACTTTGGGAGATGGTCATAAAATTCATATCTTCCTCTGGATGTTGTTTCATGGTAATAACTTCCACAAGATGACTTGTTCTTTGAATGTGGGATTCTTGAAATATGCACTATGCTGATGCTTGTTCTATTAGTGATTCGTTGGTGGCTTAATCCTGACACTAACATGCACTGGTGTATTGCCATCGGCCTCTATTTTCCAGGGAGAAGAGCAGTGAAGAGCACTGTTGCATTCACTAACATGCACTGGTGTATTGCCATATGTTTCTTTCAACGGAAGCACTATGTTTATGTCACAGAACACTAACCAAGGTATGTATGCTGTGATGTATAGTAAAAACCGACTCCCTGTGCTGCTTTGATGCTGTGATGTACTAGTAAAATGCTTCTTCTTATGGTGTGCAATTAAAAGGCTAGCTACCGGTTTCTGTCAGAAATTCCAGGGCAATGCATATGTATTTTCCTTCCTTGCTGGGTATCAGAAATCACAGAACACTGACATTTGTTACTAATGTTGACACCCTGCTGCTGCAGATTGCACTTGGCCAACACAGGATCTGACCATCCATCCAAACTGATGGCCAACAGATTCATTCCTGGAGCTACCTGTTTCTATGCTACTCCCTTCATTCCATAATATAGTGCGCTCGTGCTTTCTGAGATATAAATTTAACCATAAATTTAACCAACGAGACTGACTATGGCAGGAGCAAAAATTATACCACTGAATTCATATGAATTCAGTGGTATAATTTTTGCTCCTGCCATAGTCAGTCTCGTTGGTTAAATTTATGGTCAAACTTAGATCTTGAGAAGCGTGGGCACACTACATTGTGGAATGGATGGAGTACTTACCATCATGTAAATTCTATCGTCTCAGGGAATGATAAATTCAATTATTTGTATTGGATACCTGGAAACCATTATTTTCTTTGAATTCGATAAATATACATACTGTAATGTTTCTTTCCAATGGAGCATTGTTTACTAACATCCAAACTTTTGGGGTTTCCGTAAAATAGTGAAAAATGTTTGCGATTTTATAAATATTCATGAATAAAAAAATTGTCTGATTTTTGAAAAAAAATCCTGGATTCAAAAAAATCCACGAATTAGAAAATATACAGAATCTTTAAAATGGAAAAATAAAAAGGAAAAAACAGAAAAAACAAAAGAAGGATAAAAAACTATAAAAACAACAAAAAGGAAACGGCGAAAAAAATATTGATCCAGAACTAATGGGAACAAAAACACGGTAAAGAGTCGCAAATGAGTTGGCCCATATAGTTTGCGTGAGCTCGGGGTTTGCGATTGGCCGCCCCTGGACACGTTACTTCTTGAATAGGAGTGGCCACAGGCTCCTTTGCGGGATGATAGTAGGACGAGGACGGACGATGGTGTGAGAGGAGAGGTGGGAGGAAAGTATATTGACATATCGAAAACACAGAAAACACAGAAGGAGATACATTTTGAAGCCATTTCCTCTGAAGGCTGCTGCTGTCTCTTAGAGAGATCGCTTGGTGTTTCTCTTGTCGCTGTCTAGGCTATGGCGTTTTATCCCAGCGTTCTTTATTTTCTGTTTTAGTTCAAACTTTTAGTCTGGTAGCTTTTCTGCTTCCTCTGCGGCAGCCTTCCTGCTGTCCGCCGTTTGCTTAAATTGTAAGACGATCCTGTAACTGTTGTTTCGTTTCTTCAAGAAATGGAACAGGGGCGCGGCCCTTTTCCTCTAAAAAATATTAATACAATGGTATATTTCTTCTTAAACTCGAACTATAAAATTTGTATTTTTGTGATTGAAAAACAGGTCAAGTTGTGTTTGGCACCCCACAAAATTCAGCTCGATTGTTAGTAATAAATAAATAAATATTCAGCTCGATTTATACCAAATAAATAATATGCCTTGAGTGATGGGCTTTGCAGCTCGTGGACTCAAGCCCAATAACGAACGTGGTGAGAGTTAGCCCTAGGAGAGCTCTAGCTCTAGGCAGGCCCAGGTCGCACACACGGGACCAGCCGGCGGCGCGGCGAGTGAGTGGAGCAGCGGCGGCGGCGGCGGCGCGAGCTCTGTCTCCGGGGAGAAGCTGCATCGGTGCCGCAGGCAGTGGGGTAGCGGCGACTCCGTGCGTTGCGGGGTGTGCCCAACTCTGCTTTCGGGGAGTGGAGCTCGTCTTCGTGCGGCCGCCGGCGCCGGGGGTGACCAGGTTTGCTCCGGCGACCTCCGTTGCGAGCCCAGGTTCGCCATCCATCCCAACTCCACACTCTGAAGCTTAGTTTTGTCCAAGTTTTGCACATCAATTGGGAAAAGACTTCCAGAGTAGAATGTGAATGTTGACTGAATGTATTGACTTTCTACAGGTCCGCCATGTCGGCCTTCACCGGCGTCTCTATCGCCGACGGCAACAGGCGGTGCTTCTGCGAGACGTCGGCCGTGGACGCCCGCGGGGACAGCGGCTACCACCTGCTCATGGTCACCGGCTACACGCGCACCAAGGAGCTGATGTCCACCGGCGAGAGCATCACCGCCGGTCCTTTCAATGTAGGAGGCCACGATTGGATGATTGAGTACTACCCCAATGGCGAAAACCCGAGCTGTGCCGGCTTCATCTCGCTCTTTCTAACCTTTCACTACGACGCCGATACCGATGAGGGAGAGCCTGTGGAGGTCAGGTTCAGTTTCAGCCTTGTCGACCAGGTTGAGAAGCAGATGCCGATGTACATTCGTGGAACCGGTGAGACTCGCGACTTCTCCACCGCTACTTCAATCTGGGGCAACGACAGGTTTATGAGAAGAGACGCCCTTGAACAGTCTGCGGACCTCAAGTATGATTGTCTCACCATCCGGTGCGACGTCGTGGTCGTCCGCAACAGCAAGGTTGATGATGCCGGTGGCCACGGCGGCGCCGAGGCGCTCATGCCGGACATACACCAGCATTTCAACAGTTTACTTCAAAACAAGGTGGGTGCCGATGTGGCATTCCAGGTTGGCGGCGAGACATTCGCCGCACACCGGTGTGTGCTTGCTGCCCGATCCACGGTGTTCATGTCGCAACTCTTTGGCCCCATGAAGGAGGCGTCCAACAGTGTCATACAGATCAAAGACATGGAACCAAAGGTGTTCACGGCTTTGCTTAGCTTCATCTACACAGACTCATTCCCTGACATGTACGAGGACAACATTAAGTTGTGTGAAATATGCAAAGATACGGGACAAGGACAAGAAGATGAAATGTCTGAAGCTGTGGACCAAGGACAAGATGGGGAAGCGGCAGGGGATGACATGGGGCTGCTGCAATGGCTGCAAGGTTTGTTTGTAGCGGCAGACCAGTACGATCTCCAGCGGCTCAAGTTCATCTGTGTAAAGCAGCTGTCTCAGCACATAGGTGTGAGCTCTGTGGCGTCCACCCTTGCTCTAGCCGAGCAGCACCACTGCCGTGGATTGAAGGAGGCGTGCTTGAAGTTTATCCAAGTCCAATCTCCCCCGTGTTTGCAGACACTCATGACGAGTAATGGCTGGGGGCATATTGTCACGACCTATCCCTCTGTTTTGAACGAGCTCATTGCCATGCTTGCCTCGAACCAGAGGAAATAACACTCTGGATACGGTACGCATCTTCCTTAATTAGACCTAAAGTGACATTCTTTTGCATATACAGGCACCTCTACAGAGATTGTAGTATGTGTCTTGTTTTTAATGGTCTCGTCATGTACTAGTTTGCATGTATGACGAATCAGAAAAATCCAACATATGGGTAAATTGTCTCTTCATGCAATGGATGGTCTGTAAATTCAGGTCTGAGAGTCAACATTGATATGTGTTGCAGCAATGAGCAATTTTCTCAGCTAGTCGTTCTATCATCATATATTTCTCTGTGCATAGTGTTGTGTACAGTAATGTCATGCCTTCCCTGTCATCTAAAACCATTTTCTAACGATTATCAAGAAAACCAAATGTAGATAATTTTGGGAAGGCATTTTATAAACCAGGATTTAGGAAAAAAGATTGGATGACAGGACAGAGGTCACCAAGATTTCTGGTAACAGCGGTAGTAATCCAGTACCCAGGAATTAGTCTTCACCTGGGTGCTTGCTGTTCTCCTCGGCTGCCCCACACCCCTAGGGAGAGAAAAGGTCGGAGCTCGGATTTGATGAATGATGTCAATTTCAGCGATGGTAAGCTGGGGAGAGGTTTGAGTGCATGGACAGTGGGTATACTTCTTCTTCACATGATAAATATCTTTTGGTCAAGTATGTCCAAAGCTTTGGGAGTTAGCCATTCATTCCTTATAAAATCCATATGTTCCTTCTTTTGGCTGTTGTTTCATCATAAGCTTGTCAATAGAGACAAGTTAGTTATTAGATAACAAGTTGATGGCAAAACCTGCTTGCTTTTCAATGAGCCTGAATGCTTTATTTGAATGTGTGATTTGTAGACATCCCTAATCTGAGTTAGCCATGACTTTGAATTATTTATGGTTTACACGATGCTGATGCGTGTTTTCCACCAGTCATTCATATGGTCCTGGCATGCACTGTTGCATTAACATCTTTACTCGAGCATCTTACCGTCAGTGACCATAGTATGTCTGTCTTTCTTTTAATTGTCTCATCATGTAATTTGCCTATACGCTGAATCAGAAAAAAAAATCCAACATATGGGTAGATTGCCTCTTCATGGAATGGATGGTCAGTAAATTCTGGTGTGAGAGTCAAGAGTAGTCTGCATTGCAGCAATGTGCAAGTTTCCAAACTAGTCGTTTTATATTTCTCTGTGCATTGTGTCGTATATTGTAGCTATTGCCTTCCCTATCATTTAGAAACCTTTTCTAGTGGTTATCAAGAAGAACAAATGTAGATGTTTTTGGGGAATTATTTTATGAACCTGGATTTAGGGAAAATAATTTGGAGGACAAGACAGAGGTCACCAAGATTTCCTGTTACCCCCATAGTAGTAGTGATCCAGTACCCAGAAAATAAATTCTCCTGGATGCTTGCTGTTTTCCCACCCCATGGGAGAGGAAGGTCGGAGCTCGGAGATTCTGCAAAGTCAAATGTTATACCTTTGCCATATACCCAAATAGATGACTATCATTCTGGCGTATTTTGAAGCACATATGAGTGATTGCTGTCAGTTTCAGTGATGAAAAGCTGGGGAGTATATCTTTTGGTAAAGTCTGTCCAAAGCTTTGGGAGATAGCCATTCCCCATGAAACCCATTTCTTCCTTCCTCTGGATGTTGTTTCATAATAAGCTTCTCACTATAGACAAGTTAGCTAATTGGTAACATGTTGATTCCAAAACCTGCTTGCTTTGCGACAAGCCTGAATTAACATCTTTACATGCATGATCATTTTTCTTTTTGTTGAAGTTGTGATTTCTGGACATCCCTAGTGTGAGTTAGCCCTGACTCTGAATTATGTATGATTTACACGATGCTGATGTGTGTTTTGTGTCAGTCAGTCATTCATGTGGGCCTGGCATGCACTGCTGCATTAACATCATTACTCGAGCGTCATGTTTATGGGTGATTTGGAATATGTTTCTGTTTTCAGGCGAAGCAATGCAATGGAGAGACTTGCACTATGTTTGGGATGTTGTGATGAGGTAGGTTAGGTATGCTCACTCCTGGACAAAAAAAGCTGTGCAAGCGCAAGCACAAATCACTCACTGCTGGACCGACGATTTTGGACCTTGGATGGAGAAGAAAAGAAAAGAGAACTGCGCCTGACGCATTGTTATGCGACAGATGCCGAGCACTCCCTGTATGTACCTCCGTCAAGGCCAACACGTTCCCTCCCAACTGGAAAATGTAATAGGGACCCTGCCTGAATCACTACTCGAGTAATGGCCACTTTTGCTTTGATGCTGTCTGGCTCTAGGCCTCTGATGGTGATGTAAAAACTTCCCACTAGAGACGACATTAGCTATTAGACATCTTGTTCTTTGAAGGTGTGATTCTTGAAATATGATGATTTGGGCGATGATGCCGATGCTTGTTCTATCAGTGATTCATTGCTGACATGCACTGGTGCATTGCCATCAGCCTCTGTTTTCTTTCAGGGGAAGCAGAGCGGTGGAGAGCAGTGTTGCATTCAATATCTATGTTTCTTTCAGTGGAAGCACCATGTTTACATCACAGAACACTCACTGCTGGACTAAACCAAGGTATGCTCAACACTCAACAGGATCTCATCTGACCATCCATCCAAACTGGTGACGGCCAACAGATTCATTCATTCATTCCTGGAGCTGCCTTTTACACTGTATGGATTTATATTTATGCTAGTTACAATCATGTAAATACTGCCGTTTCAGGGAAAGACGAATTCAGTTTTATTTTTTTATTTACCTATGTTTTTTCTTGGATATCTAGAAACCATTATTTTCTTTGAATTACTGTAATGTTTCTTTTCAATGGAGCAAAATGTAGTTTCCTCTTGGATGTACAATTTTTACAGGACCTAGGGTGAGCCTGAGTCATCAGTCATCACCAGCAGATACTTTTAATCCGACTGTAGCATCCCAAAGTTTGGGGTTTCCATAATATAGTGAAATACTACTCCCTCCGTTCCTAAATATTTGTCTTTCTAGATATTTCAATAAATGACTACATACGAAGCAAAATGAGTGAATCTACACTCTAAAATATGTCTACATACATCCGTATGTAGTAGTCTGTTTGAAATGTCTAGAAAGACAAATATTTAGGAACGGAGGAAGTAGCAAGCAAGGTTGTTATCGTAGATTTTGAATTCGGTTTGGAACTCCACGGCAAGATGGCAATATGATCACATTGTAGCAATATGGTTGTAACAATGTGACGCGTTTCATGGAACATGAAAATCGTACATACAGGAGACCAAAAATGGTGTTTTTGATCAGATTCGTGCATTGGCATTCGGGGCGACGATCGACAAAGTTCTCTAATTTTATGTGCTTCCTCCAATTCATATTAATTGTCACTGGTTTGGTTTAGTACAACTGGAAGGGATTTTGTATCATTAATTAGATTTGGCATAAACATTCCTTCATATTATCATATACACTCGTACAAGATTGAATTTCACATTTGGCAGGATTTGGCACGCTGATGGGCTGCACCGGCGCTGGCGCTGGCGGGTTGCCTCAACGTGGTTGATGGCCCGGGTGACGTCCGACACGGTTGGCCGGATAGGTGGAAAATGTTTCCAGAGTTGTTGAATTAATAATAAAAGGCTGTAATAATAGTCAGAAGACTTTTATATTTAATTAAATATTAATGGGTCTTAAAAGACCAAGTGGTGGAACGCCTCTTGAGCCCAAGTGAAGGTGGCGCCCCCTCTCCACTTAGGGTAGGAAGGGGATGCCGAACTGGAGGGGGAGCCCCCCTCCTCTTGGCCGGCCAAGGGAGGGAGACTTTCCCTCCCCTTTTGGTGCCCTCTCCTCCTCTTCCAACCTATATATACTATAGACTTTTGGCACTTTGATAAACAAGTTTTGGAGCTTCCTCTAGTTTTCTAGTTCTAGTTCTATTGATCAATTAGAGCTTGATCTAGGTCCTCTAATCCTAATAATTAAAAGTTAGTGTGGTTCTAATCTCCTCCATCTAATTCTTTGGCGACGATTAGCTCTGGATGAGAAGCGCCGCTGGATCGTGAAGACCGTTCGCTTGCAACTCGTAGAGAGGCCGTGCTTTCGATCTTCCGTCCGAGGGAATGTTCGTGGGTAGTTCGTGGGATCGTTCATCTACGGTTTGATACGTCTTCGTCGTATCTACTTTTCCGAATACTTTTGCCCTTATTTTGGACTCTAACTTGCATGATTTGAATGGAACTAACCCGGACTGACGCTATTTTCAGCAGAATTGCCATGGTATTATTTTTGTGCAGAAATAAAAGTTTTTGGGATGACCTGAAAATCAACGGAGAATTATTTTGGAATTAATAAAAAATATTGACGAAAGAATCAAGGCCAGGGGGCCCACACCCTGTCCACGAGGGTGGGGCGCGCGCCCCTGCCTCGTGGGCCCTCTGGTGCTCCACCGAGCTCAACTCCAACTCTATATATTCGTGTTCGGGGAAAAAATCAGAGAGACAGATTCATCGCGTTTTACGATACGAAGCCGCCGCCAAGCCCTAAACTCTTTCAGGAGGGCTGATCTGGAGTCCGTTCGGGGCTCCGGGGAGGGGAATTCGTCGCCATCGTCATCATCAACCATCCTCCATCACCAATTTCATGATGCTCACCGCCGTGCTTGAGTAATTCCATCGTAGGCTTGCTGGACGGTGATGGGTTGGATGAGATTTATCATGTAATCGAGTTAGTTTTGTTAGGGTATGATCCCTAGTATCCACTATGTTCTCAGATTGATGTTTCTATGACTTTGCTATACTTAATACTTGTCACTAGGGCCCGAGTGCCATGATTTTAGATCTGAACCTATTATGTTTTCATGAATATATGTGAGTTCTTGATCCTATCTTGCAAGTCTATAGTCACCTACTATGTGTTATGATCCGGCAACCCCGAAGTGACAATAATCGGGACCGCTCCCGGTGATGACCGTAGTTTGAGGAGTTCATGTATTCACTATGTGTTAATGCTTTGGTCCGG